CATTCTCAGGCATTACACAGCTCAAAAAAGAGCACATCATTCTGATGCTTACCAACCCCTTCAAATCTCTCCAAATGATCCACGTACATCTCCACAACTACTCAAAAGTCTCATATTATAAACTCAACAAGCCCAAATCCTCTATATTAAATCTCTACACACCAAAGAAAACCCAAAAACTACTAACCAAACACTTCCCGTTCTCCTGGGAACAACAAAGCATCCCCTACTTGGGGATCAAACTCACCACCACAACTGACCAACTATACTCCACTAATTATAAAACGCTACTTGAATCCATCCGTCAGGAACTCAAAAACCTATGCACATCAACCCTATCAACACTGGGGAGAGTGGCAACTTTAAAAATGTGTATATTACCCAAGATCCTTTACATATTCCGCACTCTCCCCATTCGAGTTCCCAATATCTTCTTCTCCAAATTACAAACAACTCTTACCAAATTCATGTGGAACTCGAAAAGACCCAAATGCACTTCAAACCTATTAATACACCCAACATACAGAGCAGGAGCAGGTCTTCCTCATCTAAAATCATACTACCACGCCTCGCTATTAGACCAGATCTATTTCTGGTGGCACCCAACTACTGAAAAAAACATGGTCCACCATGGAAACGACCCCTTACCTCCCACCTACACCCGATAAAATGCTGTTCCTACCACAAACTTTGCATCACCAAATCATATCCAACCATCCATGCACAGGAGCCTCCCTTCAAGCCTGGCATGATCTTCTAACACTCAATGAAACAGATACCAGACAAATTCCTATCCCAACTACAGCTCTACGATACATCACTCCTGCTCTAAACCTACTACAGTGGGAAAACCAAGGCATCTCACACATTCGAGACATCTATTCAAACAATAAACTAGACCTCTTCTCAACACTTCAAGAAAAATTTCAACTCTCTAATATGGAATCCTTCACATACCTGCGTGTAGCGCACTCTCTGCAAAAAAAATCAACATTCCACATACAATAGGAATTGCTACCACTGCACTCAACTTCTTACAAAAACCACACTACCCAAAAAAAGGAATATCAACCTTCTACTCGCTCATAACCAATGCTCACTACACTCTAAAAACGACTTCCCTAACCTCCTGTGAGACTACCTTTGCACAACTGATACAACCACACACATGGGAAAGAACCTTCTCTATCACCTACAAAGCCTCCAGATGTAGCTCCCACTGGGAATCATACATGAAAATTCTACAGCAATGGTATTTAACTCCTGCTAAACTCTCCCTATTCTACTCTCAACATTCCCCCAACTGTTGGAGACAATGCAGAGAAGTAGGATCCACTTTCCACATACTATGGGCTTGTAAATCGCTCAAATCTTACTGGAACAAAGTATTCCAATTGCTCTCTTCAGTCACTGGAGCCCCAGTGACACCGAACCCAGCTCTTGCACTCCTACACATAGGAATTGATACATTTCCTGCCGACTCCCGCACCATCATCATCCATACATTAACAGCCGCCAAAACCAACATTGCTAAACTGTGGAAATCATCCAAAACTCCCTCTCTTACAAATCTCCTTACTGACCTTAATCTCCAATGCGAGATGGAAAAAAGATCAGCCTTTCACAATTCCTCATACCAAAAATTCAAGTACCAATGGTCTCGATGGTTAAAAAAACCCAATTTTACTATAAACTGATATCCATATAACCATACCATACTAAAAATATGCAATTGACTGGTGTCCAGTTCTTCTCCCCCCCAGTTACCCTTCCCCCCCTCCCCCTTTCCCTCTCTCCCTTCTCCTACCCCTCACCCACTTTATGTAGAATAGTTTACTTAACCTTGGTTCACACCACTCCAAGAATACCTCTCAGGTAAACAGGCCTACCTCTTTGCTGCCCCTAGCCACTTGGTGGAGAATCTACTATCTATATACCTTGATGTACCTAATGTGAACCACATCAATCTACCATATAATGTCATGTTGAAAATCTTTTAATAAAAAATATTTAACCATAAAGAATAAGCATAGGGCTGTTCCATAGAGAGGTACGCGAGTACCAGAATTCAGGAATTAGGTACCAGTTGATATTTCCTGAATTCTGTAAATGTAGAGCAGGTCAGCATTGATGCATGTCTACCCAGGGGAAAAAGGGTGGACTAGAACCAAGTTATCATAATACAAGGGTAATGCTTGAAATTATTAAAGGTCTGTAGGGTGGCCATCAAGGAGGACTGCACATCAGTCAAATACAGCAACACATCATCTGCATACAAAGATAATATATTTTCCAATGACTCCACCCAAAAATCATGAATATTAGGCCAGAGGTTCCATAGCCAGTGCAAAGAAACCTGTAGAGAGGGGACAGCCTTGCCTCCAACCTCTATGGAGGGTAAAAGGAGTTGAAAGGACATTGTTATGTAGCATTTTACCTGCATCTTCAGGTCATGGTAATCTGATCTCAGCATTGCGGATGGATCACCAAACTTTGGAGAAGTTATTTATTATATGTCTTCTTCCTTTATTAACATTTGCTTTTCATGACATAATTAAGTTGGCTTTATATTATTGTAAACCTTAAGGCAATTTTTATGGTTTTGAATAGATTGGAGAGGGATTAGAGCCCCTGTCAGGGTTTCACTGGCATCTGTGAGATTTATAGATGTGGTTATAGTAGATGTCTATGTTTTCAATTACACATGGTAAAACCTCATTTATATCCACAGCTAATAGTAATAGTTAGTTGATTGAATTGTTTCTAGACTTCAGTGCGCAATATGTCATCTACAGTATATTATAGAATGCCCCTGTGGTCTACAATATGTTGTACGTAATATGCAAATGTTATGGAAACGTCTAAATAACACAGGTTCAGTATACACACAAACTTCTAAAAAAATAGTCTATCTAAACATTTTTCACAATACCATATGAATGACCCGATAGCATTCTGTACTACGTCTATCCAATCAATTCCAAATTCTATGGAGTACAATAGATTTACTAATTTGTGAAACTCTGAAATTGATGTGGATCTATAAACGAGGTACATTATTTCTGGATGATCTTAATAAGAGTTTCTATTAAAATAAAATGATTTAATGTACAGCGCTGAGCGAACCATTGGCGCTTTATAAATACTGTATAATAATAATAATTTATTATATTGAACCTATTTATCACCCTGTTATGGCTCTATACAGTCATGGGCAAAAAAATATTGGCACCCTTGCATTTCTGTCAGGTAATGCACATCTTCAAATAGGTCATTCACCCTCAGTGTCTATTAGAAACGACACAAAAGACACCTTTACACTAACATCATCGCGCCATTGTGTTTAAATTGTAAATATAAGCATTGTGTGCTGCTATGAATAATAATACACTGTAAATAATAATACATTGTGATAAACCAAATAACCACAAATAATAGCGCAACCCTAAACCAAATCAATAAATAAAATTATATATACAATATATTAATAAATTAATATATCCACCGCCATGTGTGTGCAATAAATTAATCAGTGCAAAAATCATATATAGGAAGTCCACATATAATCCATTCAGAAAAGTCCATATATTGTTGAATATGATCCTCAATAAATGAAGCAATGAGATCCTCCTTCACCAATGTGATATTCAGTGCACAAAACACCCCATCAAATTGCACACTCACCACAAACTGGTGATAAACCAGCGTATCTTTAAATATCCAGCATTCCACCACTGAGCTCCAGCTTAAAGAAATCCTCACATTTGAATGAATAAAAAGAATACTCACCATTGTGCAGTATCATCCAGCAAATGTATTAAGATTACAAACCCCCCATTAAAACCGCACTCACAATGAGTTTGAAAATATACAGCATTTGTTAACAATCAGAGCCACATGCTCTCTCTCCAGCGTAAATTAATTAAATTAAGAGACAGTTTAAGGTCAGGGTTCTTGAACATTTGAGGAATATTAGTAAGGGTTATAAGTACCACAGTGTATCCTTACACTTTAAGAAACATCATAATTGTGATCCAACTAATATAACATTTTGTGCCATAGAATCTATTCCTAAAGCTTGGATGGGATCTAACAGAATTAGGGAGCTATCAAAATGTGAAACCAAATGGATATATTTAACTGAAGCTTTATCTCCCAAGGGATTGAATGTTGAACTAGACTTAAATTGTTTCATTAGTGATGCATAATTTTATTTTATTTTAATTTTATTTAATTAATTTATCTCATTGATTTATGTATTTTATTAATGTATTTTATTATAGCATTTAATGTATAATTGTGGTTATAATTATGTTGATTGTTATTCCATTTATATGTATTGATATTGCACTGTTACTATACTATTTGCACACAAGATGGTGCTGTTGTAATGAGGTAGTCCTTTGTATATACATTGGATTGTGCATACTAATGGGATTACACCTTCAGGTGTGTTTTATTGATTGGGCCAATTAGAAAGGAGGCGGCTCTTTAAGAGCACGCTAATGTCAGGGCTCCAGGTAAGACCAGAGGGGTGTGGACTGACACAGGGAAACTCAGGCTTCAGATATGGTATAAACAATATGATTTATTAAGACTAACAATACAAAACGCAGTGCAAAACTAAACATAAACACAGTGCAAACAAACCAAACCACCCACCGATAACAATACATACAATACAAAGAGTAGTCAGGCAGGCCGGGTCAGTAGCAAATGGGCAAACGGAATACCAGGAACAGGCGGGAGAGTGGTAGGGGTCACAAGCTGGGTTCAGTAACTCACGGGCAGCGCGGTACAGAGGGTCGGGCAGAGAATGGTCAGGGTCACAAGCCGGGGATCAAGCAGGAGAAGTCAGCAGAGGTCAGGATCAGGCCCCAGGGTCGGCAACAAGTCAGACAGGAACAGGAATACAGGATACAAGGTACAGGGGCCCATGGAAAAACACACACCAAGGCCCTGACTTTGAGTCTGGCCATTCCTTAAATACAACCCCTGCAATCAGCTTCAGATGTTTGGCTGATTGCAGGGGTTAGTCTCTGATTGCTGAGAGCACCCGCGCTGGCCAGCCCTGGTACTGCAGCCCACAAGGCAGGTGAGTCCACCATTATTGGCAAATCCATTCCTGACAGTACCCCCCCCTCAAGGAGCGGCCTCAGGACGCTCCAAACAGTCCTAGCTGGGCATAATGTTCCACCGCCCGGGTCCGGTAACTGGCGGGATATCAAAGACTGGCACATCGGGCTGGGCACCGGACAGAGGCACATCGGGCTGGGCACTGGACAGAGGCACATCGGGCTGGGCACCGGACAGAGGCACATTGGGCTGAACACCGGACAGAGGCACATCGGGCTGGGCACCGGACAGAGGCACATTGGGCTGAACACCGGACAGAGGCACATCGGGCTGGGCACCGGACAGAGGCACATCGGGCTGGGCAAACCGGACAGAGGCACATCGGGCTGGGCACCGAACGGACAGAGGCAACATCGGCGGAGCAGCGGGCATGGGGCCACCGGACAGAGGGCATCAGGCTGAAAGCACACAGGGCCGTCACCATTAAGCAGCAGCAGCCATCAGGGCAGCATCACCGGCCGCCACACCGGGCCGTCAGAGCAGCAGCAGGCACCGGGCCATCAGGGCGAAGCAGCAGGCACCGGGCCATCAGGCGGAGCAGCAGGCACCGGGGCCACCAGGCGGAGCAGCAGGCACCGGGCCACCAAGCGGAGCAGCAGGCAACCGGCCACCAGGCGGAGCAGTAGCAACCAGGCCACCAGGCGCGGAGCAGCAGGCACCAGTCATCTGGCAAGACAGCGGGCACCGAGTCATCTGGCAAGACCGCGGCACTGAGTCATCAGGCAAGACAGCGGGCACACGAGTCACCAGGCACGACAGCGAGCTCTGAGTCAACCGCACGACAGCGAGCTCCGAGTCAACTGGCACGACAGCGAGGCACTGAGTCATCAGGCATCGGGTCATCTGGCTCGACAGCGGGCATCGGGGTCATCTGGCATCGACAGCGGGCATCGGGTCATCTGGCTCGACAGCGAGCATCGGGTCCATCTGCATCAAGGTCATCTGGCTCGACAGCGGGTACCCACGGCCATCAGGCTTTAGATCGTCTGGCTCGACAGCGGGCATCGGGTCATCAGGGCACGACAGCGGGCATCTGGTCACCCAGCATGACAGCGGGCACTGGGTCATCAGGCATTGGATCAACTGCCCTCAACAGCGGGCATCGGGTCACCAGGCATCCCAGGTCATCTGCTCGACAGCAGGCACCCGATCATGCTGGCAAGACAGTGGGCACCGAGTCATCAGGCACGACAGCTAGTGGCATCGGAATCACCAGGCATCAGGTCATCTGGCTCGACAGCGGGCACCGAGTCATCTGGCAAGACCGCCGGGCATCGGGTCATCAAACAGACAGCGTGCAACCGAGTCATCTGGCAAGACAAGTGGTCATCGGTCTCAACAAACAAGACAGCGGCGCTCCGAGTCATCTGGCAAGACAGCGGGCAACACAGGTTCATCTGGGCAAGCGACAGCGGGCATCAGGTTCATCAAAGCATGACAGCAGTGCTCCGAGTCATCCTGGGGGGCCAAGACAGCGGGCATCGGGTCCATAACGCATCAGGTCATCTGGTTCTAACAGCGGGTCATCGGTCACCAGGTATTCGGAATCGTCTGGCTCGACAGCGGGCATTGGGATCACCAGGCATTGGATTGTTCTGGCTCGACAGCAGGTAACGGTCATCGGGGGCATTGATCGTCTGGCTTCGACAGCTAGGGCAAATTGGGTCACCAGTGCATCAGGTCATCTGGCTCGACAGCGGGCACCGAGAGTTACCTGGCATGATAGAATCATTTAAGGCCTGGATCAGTTCATCATGCTGGGGTACAAGACATCACAGGCTGTGTAGAGACATTCAGGCTGAATTGCGCGTGGCCGAGGCACCAGGCAGAACCACGTAAGGCGGGTTTCTCAGTACGGCAGGGCTGACCGGTTCTTGGATACAGGCATGATGGTACTGGTTGGAAAGAATTTTCACTTTTTCTGGTTTTTAGTTACTGGAGCACTGTAAGTAAACAGCAGGTCTGAAACAGAATGGAGGCAGCTACAGAACAGAGAAGAGCTGGAGGTCGATGTAACAGAGGAGTGAGCAGTTGCTACAGAGGACTTTCTTACAGGGTTCCAAGAAAGGATAGGTGTCAGCACGAGTTGGAAGCAGGGGACTGGTATGAGGTAGTAAGCATAGTATACTGGGCCGGTCACATCCACTATACATGCTCACTCAACGCTCACTCCAGTTACAGTACATCTTCACTTTTATCGGGGTGGGGGTGGCTTATCGGGGAAGCATGGAAGAGTAGGCCTTGAGGCAGAAGGAATGAATGTTGCAAGCTGGCCTGAGGCTGGGTGCAACAAAATCTGTTTCCCCCCCCAAGTTCTGGCAGTACTGTTGAAGAAAACCAGCTACAATACCCTTCTGACCAAAGTGCATGCTTTTCATCAATCCTAAGCACATGTGATGGAAAAACTGCATAATCTAGGGAAAAGCAATCGGACATCCTCCAACATACCAGGAATCCACTGACCCACAAAAAAGGGGGGAAAAAGTCTTTCCGCTTTCAGGGGTAAGGCCGACCAATCAGCACAAAACCCGGGTCAATGGCTCAAACCCCAGAAAACTCGTGCCCAAAACACAGCATTTTAAAATTTAATTTTGGGCCCTTTAACTTCCCAGTCTTTTTAAAACCTGGAAATAAAACACCACCCCCCCAAGATTCCCACCCCCCAAAAAAAACCCTTTTGGGCCCCCTTGGGAACCCCTTTTGGGGGGGGGGGGGGGAGTTTGGGTGTGTGGAGAAAAGGGGTGGGGGGATTGGTTTTTTTTTTAAAAAAAAAAAAAGGTAAAAATAAACTAAACACGGCAAACCCCCCCCCCCCCCTTTTAAAAACATAAAAAGGCAGAGCCGGGAAGACAAAAGGGGAAAAAAGGGTTTAAAAAAAAGGGGAAGGATCAAAAGCGGGAAAAAACCCCCCGGCACCACAACGGGCAAAAATTTTGGGGCACACCGGGAAAAAAGAAACGAGAAAGGGGCAGGGGGGGGAAAAGTCCAAACGGCAGGAATCAGGTACAAGGGGGGGCCCAGGAAAAAAACCCCCGGGGGGAGGGCCCCAAAAAACAAACCCCTTTCAACAGCCAGAAAATTTTGGTAAATCAGGGGGAAAAAACCCTTTTCTGGGGCCCCGGGCCCCCCCCTTACAACCCCAAATTTTTCCCCAAAGGAAAATCCATTCAACCCCCCTCTAAATTCCCCAAAAAAGGGGGCCCAAACCCTTTGGGCGTAAAGGGGCCCCCCAATACAATTTTCAAAAAATTTAAACGGGATTGCCCAAGGAATAAATTCGATTTAAAAAATTTTTTTTCCCAATTTCATAAAAGGGGGGTTTTAAATTCCCTTTTTAAAAAAATGTTTTAATTTTAAACCTTTTTTGGGGAAAAAAAACCCCTTTTTAAAGCGAGGTTTTTTAAAAAAACTTCACCCTTTTGGGAGTCAAGGGGCCAAAACCAAAGGGGGCCACATTCTGGGCAGCCAAAGGGGCCCCCAAAAAAAAGGGGGGGGTTTGGGGGGAAAATTAAAAAAAAGGGTGACATTTTGGGGAAAAAAAAGAAGAAAAGGAAGAGGAAGAAAAAAGAAGAAAAAGGAAGAAGAGGTAAAAAAAGAAAAGAGGGGAAAAGAAAAAAAGGGAAAAAAAAAAGAAAGATAGAAATGAGAATAAAGAAAAGATATAAAAGAAAAAGAAATAAAAAAAATATAGAAGGATGATGAAGATAGGATGAGATGAAAGAATAGGATGAGGATGAAGTAAAGAAGGATGAGGAGTGATGAAGAAGAAGAAGAGAGAAGAAGCAAGAGGAGATGATAGATCGATCAAGAAGAGGTTTGAGATGTAGAAGAAATAAGATGATGAGAAGAAGAGAAAGAAGACATAGAGAATGAGGGACTGAGGAAAGAAGATGGGAGGAAGAGAAGAAGAGGTATGGATGTGGTTGGATATTATACAATGTTTCAACCACTGTAAATGTGAAGGAACTGTCAGAGAACTGTCAGAAATAGCGGAGGGGGAAAATTCGATTCGTGCATCCTAAGTTTGCTAATATTCGGATTTGGCGCGAATCGAATTTTTCCTAATATTCAAAACGAATTCCACTTCGCCAGGTTCGATTCGCTCATCTCTAATCACCACGCACGCTGATTCCCATGTCCGGACCACGTGATTGCACCATCGCCATCTTGGTTGCAGGCAGGCTGGTGAGAAGCTGGAGAGAGAGCATGTGGCTCTGATTGTTAACAAATGCTGTATATTTTCAAACTCATTGTGAGTGCTGTTTTAATGGGGGGTTTGTTATCTTAATAAAATTTGATGGATGATACTGCACTATGGTGAGTATTCTTTTTATTCACATGTACTATTTGGAAATGTGAGGATTTCTTTAATCTCCCAGGCGGTATTCCCGAGTGTAGCTTGGGGTAAAGTTTCAGTACCACAAACGGTAACCCTGAGCTACACACGGGAATACCATGTGGCGCTGCTCCGTGATCCCTCGATCACTTACCTTGTCCTGCGCTCCCGCGATGTCCCTCCTGCAGTGTCCCCGGCAATGTAATCCGGCGGATGCCGGCATCTGTCTTCTGGGTTCCGTCCCCTGCGAGTGTTGGGACGTACAGGGGACGGAACGGCGGGAAATTTGAAAATGACAAAAAGTGACATTCACTAAAATCACATAGTATAACATTCCTGTATCAAACCATTTCACATACATTTTGTCCTGAGTGCTTTGTCCTGTGCCCTGCCTTCATTTTTACTGTTCTTATTGCCTGGAAATTGAGAAACGTCCATGGTGACCAAAAAGCGTCACTTTAGGTCAAAACCAGTTTTAGACCGGCTAGAGAACAGCGATAGTAAATTAGAACCACTTGCAGAATTGAGTGATAATGATTTGAGGGGGAAATTTGTCATCAGACACTGAAAACAATTTTGCAGCGATGTGCAAATTTGGCGCTATATTTTAAATTTCAGTGTTTTTGGTTTGATTTATATTATTGAATTAAATTTATTATTATTATTATATTATTATTTTTTATGATTATTTATTAAATTATAATTTATGATTTCATGTTTCAAGTTTTCTCCTACCCGGGATTTTTACTAGGCTCTTGTTCGCACAGATTTCAGTGAGTTATTCCTAAGCATTACAGGCCTACAATATAAAATGCCAAATTTCCGTGCAAAATAACGGTACCGCTTTCAGCACCAAAAATCTGAAATAATCATACTGCCAGGAAGGTTAAGCTGGAGCTCAGTGGTGGAATGCTGGATATTTAAAGATACGCTGGTTTATCACCAGTTTGCGGTGAGTGTGCAATTTGATGGGGTGTTTTGTGCACTGAATATCACATTGGTGAAGGAGGATCTCATTGCTTCATTTATTGAGGATCATATTCAACAATATATGGACTTTTCTGAATGGATTATATGTGGACTTCCTATATATGATTTTTGCACTGATTATTTATTGCACACACATGGTGGTGGATGTATTAATTTATTAATATATTGTATATATCATTTTATTGATTGATTTGGTTTAGGGTTGCGCTATTTGTGGTTATTTGATTTATCACAATTTATTACTATAATGCACCACTTTGCCCAGAAAATTGTTGCAATTATAAATGTTTCGGAATTCTCATGTTTATTTAGTTTGTTTGCATTGGTATGACACAAAA